TAATAATAATATAAAGTGTGTAAAATACACTAGTCTTCATTGTTTTCCTCATTTTGTCAACGAGATATCCATGTACCGTTTTTTATCACACAAGACTTGATGAACGGTAGGCCTTTTTCACTGAGGACATTTTAACTTGTGCCTGTAGTAAAAGCGCAGGTATAAATGTTAGAAATGAATGATGGCTGAGGTCATTTAATCTGCTTCCGTTTCAGAGTCCTGGTATTGTTCATGCTGGGTTAAAGGCCCTTTTCACAACAGCTGTTTCAGTCATTACAGGTGTAATTAATAACGAAATTCCTGTACTGACGATATGCTCTAAGAAAAACAATGATGTACGTAATTGTAGTCCAAAAGTCAGCTGAAGAGAAAGACGCACTTATAAATGTTTATGCACTGGAGACGCATTATGTAGCAATACCCATGTGGCCACAATATATAGGCAGTAATTTTACACAAGGGCATGCTGAGATCAATAAATAAAATGAATCAACTGGCAGTAACTGCCCTTGTACAATCTCGCCACCGTCGACTGTTACGTTTGTACTTTGTTGCCTTTGCGGAAGCCCCGATGATTGAGGTTCGATCGCTTTCCGTGATGGGAGTTATGGTACGGCTGCTCTTTGTGGATGGAGTTGGTGGCAGACTTGGGTATTCTGTTGGATGGTAAGTTATAAGACCTTTGTGGTGTTTCCAACTTTAGTCCCGACTTGTTTATTGCAAAGCCTACAAATCACTTTGTTCACATTCTCTGGCTCTCCTTTTCTGTCTGGTTTAAAACCAAAGAATCCCCAAATGATTTGCATTATTTTTGCTAATGAGAGTGGACATCTTTCCTGCTGGAATTGGGGCTAATTACTATTATTACTCGGGCTTTACCGAAGCTTCATTCATAAGATTGACGTTCAAATTACTTACAGAAACATTACCTGCAATAGTCCACCAGCTTCCACCTTCTCTTCCCTCTCCCTCTCTCTCTCTCTCTCTCTCTCTCTCTCTCTCTCTCTCTCTCTCTCTCTCTCTCTCTCTCTCTCGCTCTCGGGCCTCATCTCTGTTATAATCTCAGTTCTGAGTCCAAGAGTCAGAATTTATTGAAGGCAGATAGATGAAATAATTTCCAAAATTTGCAACATATTTTTATCTTACCAAATATGATGCTTTAATCAATATTTGTTGGCGTTCAGCCCTTGAAAAACATTTTCATTGCAGTCAAACCCTGTTTATTCTCCCACATGCTGATATTACAATTCTGCAGTTATTGAAAAGATCTTTTATAAAAGACCATAAAGAAATGCTTTCTCTTTGAAAACGTTATATCGGCCGCCATCCATTCGAGCGCCAGGTTCTGTCAGGTCGAGATCAACCAAAGAGCACCTGAGTGGACAACATCAATTTATTTCTAGTGCCATTTGCTGTAACCCTCCAACATGGCAGCCCTATACTGCGCAGATAGCTCACATGGGGTCAGAGACCTTGTTTCAGCCTTCATTTATTAGCCTTAGTAAAAGGGAAAGACAGCCCTTACAGGAAGTCAAGAGGGCTGTCACACTTCCTGCATCTCTTCTGAATCGGAAAGACGGATGTGCTGTCAAACCAAACTCCAAAGAGAGATAACCAGAAAGCTATGAGATACTTGGTCACACAGAGTCTCTCTCGAGCAACACCTGAACATTTTTCAGGTGTTGTTTGAGAAAAAACGTATTCAGCACGAAAGGCTTTTTGAAAATTTGAATTGATAATAGAGTTTCTCTTTTGATGATTGAAGATGGTTTAGAGCTCATTCTTTAGATATTGCTATTGTTGCTGTGAAATATTTCCTTAATGAGGAGCTGAAACTTGAGAGGATAATTGTATTGTTATTACTATTTTTATTAATATTATTTTTAAGAAAGCAAAATATAAAGTACAGAAAATGTATTTTCTTTGCCCTCAATAAATTCCACATATGACCCAGAAAACACAATACAGCAGAATGGTCCCAGAATGTAAATCTGGCAACAAAACAAACACACATTTATAAAGAGGATAGTTGAACAGAGAGATAAGCAAAGAGAGATGGAGGCAGATTGATGCGGTAGAAAAGAGTCAAAGGTTATGAAAATAAACATTCCCCTTGTTTGGACAAGTTTGCGTGGCTCTCTCTGCGGGACATTAGTCCATTCCCTCAGGGTGTTGTCAGCTCATGTTTCATTACTGCCAGTATCTCAGCGATCGCTTTCAATCAGCCCCTGTCTTTGATTTATTACTTCCTGTTGTCCTTGGGATTGCTGAATTTCACTACACTCTCTGTGTAGCGACAATTTGAAACTCCAGCTCCTTTGGTGCTTGGGAGCGCTGACCGCAAGCCCTGGCTGTGGGGTCTAAAATAGTTTGGAGTCAGAGATAAAAGGGTCGGGATGGGAAACAAAATGATTCTCCTTCCTGAGCTTGGCTGCTTGTTGGCAGGTTGGATGTCTGTGAGAACGTACCATCTCAGGGTGATGGGTGTGTTACCCCAGTGACTTCTGGCCCTTTAGGGAGTGGTGGGTGGGGCCAATACTTGAGTAATTGTTTCACAATCTTGCATCTGGATTAGCGCTGTTAAAATAGCGCACAAGCTGCGTCTCGGACTTGTCTCTCCACACACACTATGATAAATGAAAATGAAGCAGATACAATAACAGCCAACTCTCTGCTGGGTGATTTTCTTGTGGACTGAGTGTCGGCCTCATTAGGGCTGCCTTCAGCTCAGGGTCGCTGAGACTGAGGTCAGCGCCGGGGGAACCTTCCTCCAGCCTTCCCACATCTTCCTCTACTTCCTGTCCCAACAGCTGGCTTTACCCCATCCTCTAGAAACGTGGTAATTTATCATTTCTATATGCAATTTTGATGGAGAATTAGCATAAAGAAAATATTCCTTGCGAGCAGATGGTGCTGGACACAAACCAAAAAAACAAAAATCATTGCACTTGATTATTTCTCTCAAAAAGCTAGATACTAGTTATTGTTGCTATTAATTAACACACTTTTATTGGTGAGATTTTGGTTCTTTTAATCTGTTTGTGAATATCCTAAATGCACATAATTATATTTATAATTCTGTTCATGATTGTCAGTTATGCGCCACCAAATAGAAAATGGTTGTGTTTAACCCTTCATTCATTGTTTGATTGTTTTTGTTTTGCTCCTTGGGGTGAAGCACAACAAACTGTAAACACACTCAAGTTGTCTTGATGACAGTTGCCTGCCTGTCATCAAGACTTGTAGCAATATGCTAATATTGCTACAAGTCTGCTGGATATGTGAACATGTTTACATATCCAGCAGACTTGTAGCAATATTAGCATTCAATTGGAGTTGCGTGTTTGGCCACATGGAAAATGAAATCCCCCCCTTAATCAGTTTTTTTGGTCTCCATCAACTCCAGAGGGAAAAATCTGTCTCTTTAGTTTCTAAATGCTTCAATGTGTGCACCAGCTAACAAACTGTGCATATTTGGTGCTGGGCAGGTGGTGGGGTTGTCAGAGCTTTCTTCTTTTTTACTAACAATGGTATAACAGTTTAACCCACATTCCTTCTGGATTCTCACAATGAAGCCCTTAAATGTGTGCAGAGTAAAGAATTGGTCCCAACTACCCACAAACAAATTTGATACCACTTTCGGGGACAGGAGTAAAAGCATGTTATCCTCTTCTTACTGTAGCTTAAAAAGAAACATCCCCTCTCTTCTAGGATTAGGAGAGTCAGTGAGCTGTACGAACATCTCAATGGTGCCAAGCGGATGGCAACAAAGCCGTAACATACACACACTTTTTGGAAAGGATTTATAAATTTGAAATGCTCAAAAAAAAGCTCTTAAATTAAGATGGAACATTTGTGACAGATGGTGTCGCTCTTTTCTGCTCTGTTCTTGTTGCAGTTGTGCATTTTTTTTAAATAAATAAGGCTTTAGGTAGTCTATTATTGCTTGAACTGAACCTAATTTCTTTATTTTATTTGTTCAACATGTTAATTGATACTGCCCACTGAAGATTCTTGATGATGAACATGAGAGTTGGTTAGTTTGTAGTGTTGGAGAACCACAATGAGACGCTTTCAGCGACGAAGTCGCCTCTGCATGAAGTGCCGGTTGAAAGCCTTGTTACCTCTCATATCCAGCTCAGTGCAGGTCGTATTCATTGTGAATTCTTGGGCTGAATCCAAGATTCATGACAACTACAACTCCAGGCCTGCATGATTAAAACACTTCCTGCTGTGAAGTGCATGTGGTCCACCAATGGCTGCACTCAGTTGCTTGGAGGGCCCAAGGCAAATACAAACACAGGGACCCTGTAATTACAGCCGCAGCATTTACATCCACCCCTCCAACTCATTGAAACTGGGTCAGAGCAGAGAATGCATTGAAGGGCTGTTGTTGTGAAGAGCACTAGAGCTGAGAGAAATACACTTGGGTGATGAGGGAACTCCTATTATTATTATTATTTCTTCATTCTCCCTTGGCTCCTAACATTAGTTTCATGGCTGCAATTATTGCTCCTGCAGGGGCCAGCACTAGAGCTCTTTCAGATGATGATATTACAAACAGTTGATGAAGCTTTTATTTATCTATGTAGGCAACTTTACTTTTGTGAATTTTATTGTTTTTGATTGTCAAGATAAAGACTTGTTTGTAGATAAATTATTTCAAAATATTGTATTTCCTGTGCCCCTTCTGTGCTTGTGACCTACCTGCATATAATAGTACAACCAGTCCATTTCCTGTGTTTAGAGTTTCCATAGTATCACAGGTCATAGGTGTTTGGTTAATGGCATGGCTACTTTGACAAAATGTGTATAAATAGACAAAATCCATGACAGAGTGCAGGAAGTTCCCTGTGTTTTTACATGTGATGGAAGGAATAGAAAACAAAAGGGAGGAGAGAAGCATTATGGTCCAGCAGGACATCGTCTCAGTAATCTGCCTCAGTACTGGAACGGGGGAAGTACTTAAGAGTATCAAGAATAGCACCTTCCATCAAACATTTTGAGAGAAATACATTACACAAGATTTCCCTAGAAGATTAAGCAGCTGCACCGATGTTTTGTTTGGATTTAAATATTGCCTGTGGATGCCCGCTACAAACAAAAGAAGATTTAATCTCACACAGAAAGCTGAAGAAGCACGTTGACTTTTATGAAATAGAGTGGGTGGGGATGAATACAATTCTTCCCACTAAAGACAAACAATACAATACAAGACAATGTTCACATGTTTACATCTGCACGGTACCATACCATCTGTTTTCTGACGCCTTTGAGCAAGAATTCCTTGAATGTTCAGTTCTATAAACGGGACAGATGGTGAATAATTTGTAACTGCCATGACTTGACATCTTTGTCAATATCTTCAATATTTTTTCAACAAATATACAATACTCACTGAGGAATGCGAATAAATGATAAACAGAGAGACAGATGCACATCTCTCTTTGAATAACTGCTTTCATAACTAGTTTTATACCAAATGCAGGAACAAGGCAGGCAACAGAGCAAGAGAGGAGATAACTACATCGATTAAGTATCGTGGTTGTGCCTTAAGGTACTGAACGTTTTCCTACACACCACAAATTAATCACACCAAAAGTTGTTTCTTCAGTTATAAGAACAGAACAGGGGAAAGCATACTTTTGTTTGAAAGTGTTTAGGCGAAGAAGCATAATCAAAGTTTTCAGCCCAAACAAGAAATTCTGGTTCAATCAGATTGTTGGTCTACTTTAATATGGATTTTATTTACTTTTAAAGCATGAGGCTGGCAGTATTCTATATCTTAATTTTTGTAAACAACTTCAAATGAAAAGCCTGAAAGAAACAATGCAGAAATCTGTCTGTGGCTCTCAATCACATTTCTCCATTTATTTTGTTAAAAACGGGCCACACATAATGTTTCAGTACCCTAAAAACAGTTAATGGGTTTTTCCTTCTAAAACAGCTGGCCTCTGCTGTTACTCAAAGAGAAGTAAAGTATGTTTTTCAGGTGTGGATTTTTGGGGTGGTGGATAGATGAAAACACAGGAGTTTCACCCAGGAGACTGCTGTTTGTGTCCATTGTGAACTTGTTGCGTTTTTGTTTTGTTTCAATTCCATAGTCGTTTTAAGCCGAACCATGTTTTTTACTAAACCTGACCTGAATAGTTTTGTACCGTTTTTTTTCTTCTTTTTTTTCTTCAATTTACAACATTTACTACGTGTTTCTAACTGCAACCGTTTGGTCCAGAAGAAAATATGTTTTCCTCTAAATGTAATTAAAAGTGCAGTTTATTTGTATTGTCGGTTTTGTTTGTTTCCTGGGATCAAGAGAAATATAGAATAGCGCCATACATTTCTTTCAAAGCTGAATTCTTTCATATTTTTTAAAAATAGATCTTAAAATATCTAATGTCTGGAAATTGGTAATTCTTCCAGTGAGTAGAATATCCACTTGCTTGGTCTAACCAAGAGGCATGGAGGTTACACATCTGCATATGTGTACATGCAAAACACAGAGGCCAGTAATCTGACTGTCATCTTTCGGTGAGCACTGTAGTTTTATGATTTCCTTTGACACCTCAAGTCACATACTTGTGTTGAACGGGGCGATATGCTAGAACAGCCTGGAGGCAGCGAGCTCAGTCCCTCCCTCACTTGAACACCAGCTGATTTCCACTAATGACAAACTAGCTCTTCCTCTCCAGATACGCAGCTTCCTGGGATTGATGCCAGTTTTGGCCCTGCTCACCTCCAACTCTTATCTTGTTAGAGACAATTGAAAAAAGCAATTACCTGCAGATGCCGCATTGTACCTGATAAACAAGATAATGTAGCAGAGGACAACACACAACTGCTCTCAGCATTGTTCTCTCTCTCTCTCTCTCTCTCTCGTCCTAAGACGCTGCACGCATCTTAAAACATTTATAACCACATCTCCTCAAACTACTGTGACTGTAAATATCCCTTGCCCGGGCTGCTGACCCTGGCAGTTGGCTCTGACCATCCACTCTTCCTTCCCTTTAACAGCCCAGAATAAAGCTTTTCCTTCAGCATCCCACACCAGGAAATGTTTTGACTCTGTCCAGTTGGTCTGTTGCTCTCATGAAGAGGATTTGGGAGGTTGAGGGTCACCACAGCTCGGCTTCTCATCCTGAACTCGTCTCCAACTTTTTTTTACAGTCTGGGATAAACAAAAGGCTCACTAGGAGAGGCATGCAAATCACAGGATAAACAACACAAATTTTGTCTTGAATACAAGTGCAATTAGCAGAGCATTTATCTCATGAAGGATTGTGAGGGATCTGTGTTTAGTCTTGTTTGAAAATTTAGTTTTTCTTTAGGTGAAAATTAACATAGTATAACATACCATGCTGCTCTGCATGTAGGTCTCTCAATTCGGAGAGATTACACATGACTGAAATTGACAAAACACTAACAGCTGATTAAAAGCACTGTGCTCCATTTGTGCTGCAATGAGCAGTTGATTAGAAAGATAATTAAATCGGGAAGTGAGATTTAACAAGGGAGTTACATGTCTTGTTGGACAGTAATCGGTATACAATCAGGAAGAAAATTACATATGAGTACTCATGGAAATATTTCCTCCCAGGACAATAACTGTGCTCTCTATATAGAAATTAAGATGCATATGTATACACAACAACATCAAGTTACACAAATCCATCGTTACATCATACGACATCATTAACATCGCTTTCCTCCCAGTAATTCTTCAAGATGAAGATACAAAGCTAATTTGAATGCTACCTGTGAGTGTGACTCGGCCCAGACATTTCATCTGTTTCAAGAGTTTGTGAATCCCTTTGAGATAAAGTTTCCTCTCTCTCACCAGCTGCACTTCTCTCAGACTATTTAATTCTGTTCATGAATAAAATGGTGCTGTGCGTCAAGAGGAAAAAAAGGAAATATGCAACCCCCTTCGCTCTTGTTTCCCTCGATGATATTTCAACAACACCTTCATCACAAGAAACGCTGGATACAACTTTTTTTTTAAACATTCCTTTCAAGCATGACACCCCTCAAACAGTGTGATTATCTTTGGCAAGGCGCCACTGAGCCGTAGGACTGCTTTGAAGACATTCCTAAGAGGATATAAATAGTGTATCTTTCCACCGCACCCCCATAGACAATAGGCTGATATGGAGCCGGTCAACCTTTTTCTCACTATAGCCGAGTTTTTCCAAAGAAGCGCAGGAACTTCTCATACGAGTTTCATCATATATACAACATTTCACATCCACTTTATATATCCCAGATGCACCATGAAGCAACCACAGTTTGAGGCTATATGGGAAACAGTGTTGTGCAGTGTGCAGTAAAAATAGACCCTGGAATCTAACCACATTTCCTTTGCACGTAGTAACAATATATATTTCCCCCATACAATGTGAAGACTTGTTTCTGCTCTGAATTGTTTCTACATATACATAGGTTAAAGGATAGTTGAAGTCATAATTTGTTGGACTTTTTCTATGATAACAGCTTTATAAAGCAGAGGAGCCTGATGTTTAGATATTACATTAAGCTATCTTATTGAACCAATGAGATTTGATGGATGGAGATCCAGCTCTTCCCGCAATAACTTTGTCTGGAGATGTTATTTTTACGACACTATTTAGGTTGTTTCACAAGTGAGCATCCTTACAATCCTCTGGCAATGTCACAGTCAGTCAAATCTACAGGAAATTATTTTTCTCATCTTACCATTCACATTTTATTTGTAAGAGAGTGAAAAAAATATTTCACAACACAATGAAAATAATATTTGCTGAACTATATAACCTAGCAATAAGGTTGTGTTGCAGAATAGTGATCTTGCATGGTTTTAATATTTACCGACAAAATACTGAGGTATGTGAGGTGTTGAAATGAAACACAGATTTGTCCAATAGATTTTGCACACGCAGGCCTGAGCTTGGCCATTGTTCTGGTGTGAGGTGGTGTGAGATTAGACTCTTACATAAATTTGGGGGGTTCACTGATAAGAATTGGCAGTCTTGCTGTAGCTTTAACTGCTGCAAGAAAAAATACATGTGTGTTCGAAATACCTGCAGTTATGCCAAACATTTTTAGAATGCTACATTCTACACAGGATGATAAACTTAAATCATTTGATCTATAGCATTTCATTTCATTTTTATTTCCCCGTGAGACACACTCACACAGGCCATACTTGCTTGCCTCCTTATCCCCATGCTCATATCTTATGGATGCTGGAGATTCATCTTTTTATCTTTACACAAATCACCCACTGCGATCCAGCCGCCAGCACTGGAATCCAGCTACATTCATGACTTCAATTGATCCTTGAAGTAGCTCTTTCCTCCTGCTTGCTGCAGCATTTGTGATTTATCCAATACAAAAATCTTACGTTTGAATGTGCATGTTTGCAGGACTTATTATACAATGAACATATTACAAGTGTGGCGTAAATGTATCTGATTAAATTACTTATTTGCAACACTGGTGCACTAAAAATATGTCTCTTTTGTTTTGCTCAACTTAAAATTTTATTCACAGACTTTTTATATGTTTACAACACTGGGTATTTTTTTTTAAAATATGATAGTAGTTACATTTAAATGAATTTGGGGAGAAGGAACGAGTGCTTATAACGCCCAGCATTGAGTGAAAGAGGCAACACAGATCTGTCCCAGGACTCTGTTCTGTTTATGTGCGTTTAGAAGTTCTGCATATGATTTTCATGAAGGATTTCCTGAAATCCCTGTTGAAAATGGTGTAAATTATGGGGTTTACAGAACTGTTGCAGTAGCCGATCCAAAAAAAAAGGTTGAAAAGTGCGCCAGGGATGTAGCAGCTGTCTCTGCAGATAGCATGCAGGCTGTACGTAAAGAAGAAGGGGAACCAGCAAAGCACAAACACCCCCATCACTACCGCCAGCACGAAGGTGAAACGTTTCTCCCGCATCTGGCTCACTTTGGTCTTATTGGCCGCTGTAAGTTGTTGCTGTCGCACAGCTGTGTTCTTCTGCTCCGGGTAGAGTTGTGACGCCCGGGAGGAAGCCCAGGAGAGACGACAGTTCTGAGGCGGGCAGCAGTCTGACCCCTCCACCTTTCTCCGTTTGGTGAAGCGATGATTGCGGGGTTTAGTATCCGACGGACAGCAGCTCTCCTCCAGGTCGATGTCATCCAGCTCCCCCTGCCTCTGCTGGTGGCTGCCAGAGCTCTGGCTACTGGGGCTCTCCGTCTCGAACCGGTCCTTCCTGACGAAGCAGGTCTCGGACTGAGAGGGCTGCCTCTCCAGGCCGTTCTTGGCCACGAACACGGTGGAGGAGCGCTGCTTTGCCACCTTATATATTTTACAGTAAACCAGAATCATAATGAGACCCGGAGCAAAGAAGGACACCATGCAGGAGGAGAGGATGTACCAGGTCTCGTCGTTCAGCAGGCACTCGCGTTCATCATGTTTGGTCATGAGAAGAGGAGGGAAGGAGATGACAGCAGATATTACCCACACTATAACGATCATGGACTTGATGCGTTTCGGTGTCCGCTTCAGGTTGTAGCTGACCGCCTTTGTCACTGACCAGTAGCGGTCAAGGCTGATGGCGCACAGGTGCACGATGGATGAGGTGCAGAACAACACGTCGAGAGCCAGGTAGAAGGCGCACCAAGTACTTCCAAAGTACCAGTAGCCCATGACCTCATTGGCGAGGGAGAAGGGGATGACCAGTGTGGCGACTAGGATGTCCGCTGATGCCAGAGAGACCAAGAAAAGGTTCTGGGGCGCACGGAGAGCCCGGCTGGTCAGCACCGCTACAATTACCAACACGTTACCGACAATGGTCACCGAGATGATCACAGTAACCACCACGATGATGAGCGCAGTGGCTGCCACCGTGTGTGGTAAGCCAAACGTTGCGTCCGTGTTGTTGTCATTGTTGGAAACGTTTTCCACCAACAAATTTAACTGTGTTAAATCCATTCTGGCTCAAATTTGTCCTTTCGTGTCATGTTTGTTGTTTTGCACCCTTTTCGTTTCCAAAAACAGCCACGACTGGTGCGCTCCTCTAACGCATGGAAATATGCTGTGCGTAACGCTCCTGGTCAATAGAAACAGAGTGTAGCCCACAGAAAACGCAGTTCCTGCTCAAAGGCATCTTCTCAAACAGCAAACTCTACATTACAGATCCTCCAAATTATCCCGACGGGCACACGGGGTTCCGAAAATATCACAATCCAATGCTCCACGAGTAAAGTCGCCCCTCTTCTGTCACATCGCGGTGCGTAAAGGTGTTTATTTATGCGTTTTGGTGAGCAGCATCTTTGGAGACAAACTGCTGATGGAATGAATGCCCACACAGGAGTGAGGTGACATCACTGCAAGCCTCCTCCAAATTTGCGCGCGCGCGCGAGAGAGAGAGAGAGAGAGAGAGAGAGAGAGAGAGAGAGAGAGAGAGCATTGTTCAGACAGATTTGAGATTTCTTTGAAAATTTCATATTAACTTTTGTCAGTATTACACATAATACACATAAGCCTACAGTATGCTGGGAGTGGAAAACACAAACTGCCTACACAATCTACCACTGTAGATTGTACCATTGTAATAATTTCAAATGACTATTTTCATTATTATATTTCATGGCACTGGCAGGGCTATGATAGGGATATTTAGGGTGAAATGGCCTTTAATAGCCACTAATGGATATGGAGGTCAAACAGCACAGCGGGAGGTCTCTCTGAACTTTATCAGCCCTGCATGGCTGCCAATTAGGAAGTCACGGTGTTCAAATTAAAAAGGCTTTCATGCAACAGTGATTGGTTGATCTTCATGTTGTCTGTGAAATGTAGCGGTGCATTGTTCATGGCACATTTCTCTGACAGAGGCTATAGACTTGTTGTGCTCCCTCACTCTTTTCCATTATTCATACACTGTAATCTAGAATTGTTCTATGTCGGCACATGGAGGTGCCCATAATACCTGTTGCTGAGAAGCTTGCATCTGTTTACTCTGAAGGTCGAGTTATATAACATGTATGCAGTGGTGTTAGGCGGCCAGTCTAGAGCCAAAAGATATTTACCAGTCAGCAGTGACACAAAAAAGACACAAACATACACACGGCCAGTCAGGGGTCATTGTGAAATAACACTATGAAATCAAATGAATGCTGAGCTGATCCATCGTCTGTAACTCCCACCAGATGCACTTCACTAATTTTGTTTTGGATTTCAAAAAATGTATCTATTTGTAAAGTAAAGAGCATCTGTCGGATGGCAGTAGGGGATTTGTCCAGCTAAAGCTTTTCGATGGATGCTAACATTAATGTAGGTGTTGGTGTGTGCGTCTGTGTTCATCCTTGAGCGTGAGTCGTCTGGAGGCTGAGCATCCTTTCGTGGCTGCAGAGACAAAACACAGAAGAAGATTTGGAGGAGGATGTGGAGGAGGATTCGGACAGCCTCACTTCCCTCTCCGTTTCCTCTCTTTCTCTCTTGCTCTGATGTCACTCCCCTGGATAAACATTCAGTGAAGATCATCTAAAGGGTGACTGTCACCATATATCAGTGGTGTGTAGACATTCCCTGAAGGGTCTACCTGCTGCATGAAAACAGAAAAAAACAGACTTCAGTAACCAGCGTCCTCCAACACAAACATGCTCTTTGCAAGCAGAAAAAACTCTTTTGTGTCTGACTTTAAATTACATATAATTATAATTATTGCAAATGAGCTCTCGTTGTGCAATCCTTTGATGGAAGATGCAATTACACAGGTTTCCTGTTTTATTACTTTCTTCATTTGAACCTTAATTATAAAGGTAATGTTAAAAACATTATGGATTTGTTCCAAAGCAAAGGAAAGATCGGACAAACCAAAAAGTTTATGTATACTTCAGACTTCTCTACTTACTTATCCTTTAGATAAATTTAAGTATATATACTTAAATCAATTACTTTCTTCACCTGTAACTTTTACCAAGGCAAAAACAGAAACAGTTCTGAATTTCTCTGCTTGCAGGTGTTGACAAAATCCAGTCAAAACAACAGCAAAGTGTTTTTGTCATGTTAGTGCACTGGCTGTACTTTTGTTAAAGACAATTGTTCAGGAGAGAAAGAACAAAACTGTCTCCACAATACTGTTGTGCTCTTTGCAGTTACAAAATGCATTGTACTAAATATCTCTTAAAGCTGAAAGTCACTGCAATATCCTTTGTATGAAAGGCAATGCAGAACTCAGAGACCCACACACGTTCCTACATTTCATACAGATCACAAAAATGTGTATGTACACATGTGCTGCACATATACTAAATATTGAAAGAAAGAAAAGAAAAGGAGAGAAGAACATGTAGGCATGAACACATCCACAGTGTATTATAGACATACTCATTATTAAATACTGTATATCATGACTAACAAGCTGTCAAAACTATTTTAAAGTCATCACAGAAAAATGATTTGTGATCTGAGGAAAACTAAATACGAAAAAATAATTACGTATCCTTCCGTACTCTGTATTCCAAGTAACACAACAATACCCAGCATCCTGCCACTTTGGATCCAGCTTCCTGTTGATGCAGTAATCACTCCTAATGAGGGCTCCTGAGGTCCACGCCTCTGTGTTGCTAAAGGTTTTCCCACAAACTAAGAAATTACACACATCAAATCTCCCATCAACACATCATCCAAACAATTACAGTCTCCTTGAGAGTAAAAGTCATCACTGAACGGGCCGAACTAATCAGCTGTCACGTTTGACATCTCTGTGACACACATGACGCAGATGCCAGACTCATTTACTGTCACATTTTAAAATATTAGAAGCTCTCTGCAGCCACAGAAGTGTTTGTATGGCTTTAATCTTGTCAACTCATCGATTATTAGATATGCGCCGTAATGCTTTGAGTGATGTAGTTTTAGTTTATTAACACTCTTGCTGAACACCATTTTACTGCTTATTATAAACTGCACACACACTTTTTCTCACTTACTTGTGCTTCTTAGCTCACCTAAAAACTAAAAGTGAGGTGCAGATGTCCAAGATTGATGGGGTTGAACAAGACGAGTTGGCACTTCTGATGAGCCTTTATAGGTGGAAAAAAATATGTCATGCTGACATCCTGATGATGCTGAAGAGCAACTTTTCTGTAAGATTTCATACAAACCGCTGTATGAGGATATATGTTGTGTCGACAAAAAGACAAGATTCAGAAGCGACTGACGTCTGTGTTTCTCTCACTGCTTCGGTCCGTTCACCTTCCTGTTTTCTTCTTAGGAGGTTTTTTTGGCTGGCTGTGAGCAGAACCCACTGCTGGATTATGTAACGCTCCAGGAATAAATGGCCTGAGGCGGAGTGTGAAAACCTCATCTCAGGCTGCAGGTGATTTGTTATAGTAACGATTTTCTTCAGGAAATCCAGCCAGGACCCCATATGATTGCTGTATATGCATAATCATTTGTATGTGTGTGACAGGACCCTTTGCTCTTGTTGATGTGTATACTTGTGGGAGATGGTGTATGATGAAGTGGGAGAGCACTGTGTGTGTGTGTGTGTGTGTGTGTGTGTGTGTGTGTGTGTGTGTGTGTGTGTGTGTGCGTTGCAGTCACACTGTGATTCACAATTTCTTTTTTCAGAGATCTTACATCTTTCCACATCTCCCACTTTCTTCAAGTGTTGCTATTGCTGTAAGTAGGCTTGGCAGGTCTGGATAAACACATGACTGCCGACCTTTACTGTGTCCCAAACAAACAAGATTTCCCTCAGATGTTTCCACAGCTTCGGACATGGCTCCACTGGAATTTGAAAGCAAGCATGACCGTCTTCATGATGCTGTGAAGGCCACACATGTCATCACATTCCCCGATGGAGGCTTCATCTCTAATTTCAGATGAAGTTTGGGATGGCTTGTTGTCAGGGGAGATGTTGAGGCTCAAAGGGCAATAAACATATCTGCAGTTATTTGAATTGGACATTTATTTTAAAAGATTGGCTCATTTTAATCATCTTAAAATGCTTAAGTATGCTGTCATCTCTGTAGATCATTAAAATGGCCCTGAATATGTTTAAACTGGGACTGATGAACTTGTTTCATCAGCTGCTCTCTGAATTGGAATGAGGTATAAAGGGCTTCATTTTTGATAAAGAGCTGTAATGGTTGTGTACAAATTCAGCAGAGGAAGGAGCTTTTAAATCTCACTTCCAAGACCCAGAGAAAAGGCTTCCTGCAAACACACTCCAGTGAATGAAATCCTCCATCTACTTTTAAGGGAAAGAACACATCTGTATCTTGGTGAAAGTGTCGTGGTGGTGTGATTTGGTTAAATTCCTGTTTGACTTAGCTGTAGTGTAAAATTAAGTCAAATGAATGAGGAAGAAGGCAACTCGTTAGTATACGGACTAATCAAACCTTAATTGTCTTTAGTAGTGGGCTCAATTCGCTATACTGCAAGATATGAAAAAGTCCTTGCATCTAACATATTTTGTCCACAAAATCCGCCTCGTTTACACAGAACAAGTGGAGCACTGACTCAAAACTGATGACTCACAAGACATTATGATTTGGTCATTGTGACAAACTATTAAACAGGAGTTATCAGTTGACGTAGATTCGAGGGAACATGGGTCATGAAAGGACACTGTTGTAACCACTTTTTCACCAGTTCAGCTTTAGTGATCCTATATTCTTATTGGCCAACGATAGTGCTTGCAATTGGGGTCCACATAATTTGGGTAGCCTTTTTTATTTTGTCCCTCTGCAGTCTGGTTAAATTGAAGAGGTTAAAGCTGTGATTAGTCAGTCATGTCGCGCTAATATTATAATGATAACCCTTGACGAACATTCTGTTTCTATAGTGAAGTGTTAAAATAGCTTTGCTTAAGCAACACATCAGGGTGCATTATTGTGCACTTGAACCAGAAAAAGGAATTTGTTCCCATTTAAATCTGCACACATTTTGATGCTAAGCTTCCTGGTTTCTTTTTTTTTTAACCAATGACCAGTGATTTCTTCCATTCTTATTCAACTGTTGCACGGAGGGATCTTTGTCTCTTTCCTGTCAGTCTGGTTGAACCATGGCACAGCGTTTTGTTCTCCATGAACAAAACATGATTTGTATCATCTATTTGTAGAAGACTTTCTACTTCTCAGACATATGACTGAAAGAACTCAAGCTTTTGTGGCTGGTGATCCAAACTGTTGAACAGCTGTATATTCTACAACATGAAATAACATGAAGATAAAACTATTCAATACAAATAGTGAAAAGAAATGACTGGATTATGATGTACAGTATCAACAGTGACAGATATGCATATATTAACAAAATGTGCATTAAGAACTTAAAAATTATAATCT